AACCCCACCCTTTTATCTTTATATATGTATGTAAGTCTATGTAGCAAGTTATTATTTCTTTTGGAAATGTTTATATAGAAATTCGAGGAAATAGTAGTTAAAACTTAGTTTAGCTTGCAAATATATGAAATCGTTATAATAGAACTTTGTACCAGCTAGGTTTGATGTACAAAAGAATGTTGAATAAGCTTGGGTCGGATTTGGAAGGGTTTGGAATGGGTTTGAAATGAAAAATAGAGGAAATAGGCAAATTTGGATAGGACCTATCGGTAGTACTCTGTCTAGTGGATCCGAACTACCGGTAGTCAACAGGTAGTAAATGTCCAATAGATCCGAACTACCGGTAGTCAACAGGTAGTTAGTGGCGAGTTGATCCGAACTACCGGTAATCAACAGGTAGTAAATGTCCAGTAGTTGCGAACTACTGGTAGCTCAACAGGTAATAGGTTGCCAGTGTATCCGTACTACCGGTAACTCAATACGAACTATCGGTAGATAATTAAAAATTCGGGATTTTCTGCTTTTAAAACCCCATTTTCACCACATTTACTCCCATTCTTTCACACCACTCTCACTCCACATCTCTTAGAACCCTAATAGAAAGACTTACAGAGAAAGAAAGAAGGGGACAACAAGAGTTCTAAAGGGGATTAAAGATCAAACCTAGCTTCTCCAAGAACATCAGGGTAGAGGTTTTCTTCCTTCCTTGTTCATTGAGGTTAGGTTATTTATATATGTATATTTTGCCTCTAAATGTTATATATATGATATGAAATCATCCTCTCTTAGTCTTTTCTTGCAAAGATTACATGTTTTGAACAAAGTTAGGGTTGAATACCCATGAAATCTATTTTCTTGCTTTAAAACCCTAATTTTTGGAGAGTGATGAATTTTCTTCTTAAATTCTTCCTTTATTAATGATTTTGAAACTAAAGTGTTTTGTGTTGAGTAATAAAATGATGTTGTGATCTGTTGTATTTTTCTTTATTGGTTATTGGAATTGTCACATGATAAATTTGGGGATTTTGTGATATGCTTGTAAATTGAGAAATTGAGTTTGGTATTGTATCTCTTATGAGTGTGGGATGACCATGGGGTGGCCTTTGATGAGATATCTTAGAGTGGATAGACATTATTCATACTCCGTGTGGGTTTGAACTTTTCCTACCACTCATAGCGGGGTTAGTGCTTTGGGAAGACTAAACCGCTATTGCTCACAAGTATCGAGGCGGAGGGTTAGTATACTAATGTTTAGGTTGGATATGTCACTGCCATTGGTATGGTATACGCCATTTCTAAAGGTTGGATATCTTTGAGAAGATTTGGGTGTGTGTGTGTGGGCTAGATGTTACTCAATGCGTCAATTCATGTGGATGCCTTACCTCATGGTTGAGATACATGTATATATTGTAGTGAAATGTTTAAGTTATGAATTATTGTTCATTGTACCATAAATGGTTTCTATAAGAACTTTGGGAAGTATTGGATTCTGCAAGAACTTGGGAGAAACGGTTTATGGGGAAATGAATTAATAATTGTATATTGAGTTCTTTTATTCATTAAATTATTGTTATTACTTAAACTTGAGATATGTTTCAAATGTCATATATGATATTTGTATAATGAGACCAACCATTTTATATGTATTTTACCTTGTTCAAGTTTGGGAGGAATGTTGTTACAGACCTTAGTGCTCACCCCCTACAAATTACCTTCTTCAGATTTTCCTCTTGAGGAAGAGCTGGGAGTCGAGGAGCCCGGACACTGGGAGACTCCGATAAACGGGAGCGGGAATCCTGAGGTGGACGCTTAGAGCGACACCTTCTTTTGTTCTAGACTAGGATATTTATTAGGAAATATTGTGAAGTCTAGTTTTTCTTTTGTTATTCTGCTATGGGTTTATGTTTAATTCTTTTGGGATGTAATTATCTTACTTTTGGGATCATATTCTTTTGTGGATATATTCGTCATGTCTTCGCGTATTCTTTTGAGAATGAGATTGTAAAGATTACCTTCGATATATGAAATTTCTTTATGGATGAATTATTTAGTTGCTCTCACGATGTGAATGTTTTTTAGTTTGTAATGCCATCTAGGGTGGTCTTTAGGGCATTATAGATAACTTCAAAGGATTTTGCTTGGGCTCCAAGATAGAAACTAAACTAACATCCTTTAATCTAAAGAGCTTTTTGAGGTGCCTTCTTGTGACATCCTTTGCAGCGCCTCGAATGTTCCATGAAAGAAAATTAATCATTTATTGAGTGGGGAGATGGCCAAACTCCTAGACCTTGATCTAGTAAGAACACCAAGAGAAGGAAGATATGAACCATCATCAACTACATTAACTTCTATATCTGTGAAACCCGGGAAAATTTTGAACTTTTTCTGACAAAGGGTAAAATAGTAATTTGCCACTATTATGCGAGATTAAAATACATATTTCTATAGAGCTTGGATGAAGTAACAGACTTCACCATTTGATTCGTATCGCGAAATTGAGTTACCACGTCAAATTTTGTCGAATTCCAAGGTAGTTGAATTTACACATTTTTCGAGATAATTGGGTGACGAATAAACTTTAAACGTCCCCAAAAATAAAAATTATAAAATTTCCTTATAATTGAATACAAGTTCAAATAAAATTTATTTGAATGGAAACCGGGATTTAATTAAGTCGTTTCAGGTTAAAACGGACCCGAAAGTGATAAACAAGTAGGACAATGTGGACCACGCCAATAAAAGTATAAATAGGGCTAAATATCTGAAAAATAAGATAGTTTTTCTCGCTTGGCCGGCAGTATCAAGCGTGTGATAGGAGAGAGAAGAGAGAGAAGAGAGAAAATAGAAATTTCAAGCTTCTCCCTTCATATTTCAGAGTTTCGTCGGTCAGAATTGCTTGATCCAAGAATTAAAGTTGGTCTACGCGATGAGGGTTACGCGTACGGACCAAGAACGAGAGATTTCATCAAAGATCCAAGGAGGTGATTTTGGGAAATCAATTTGGGTGTTCTTGAAGCTTCTAGTCTTCATTTTACGCTTCAAGAGGTAAGGTTCCTCCTACCTTGGTTCATTTTCTTACCTAGGGTGTATTATGAATGGGGTAAGGGTTTGGAATAACCTAAATCACTTGATTATGGTTAAGGAATAAAGGAAATGGGTATGGAATTGGCCTAGACCAAATCCTAGCTAAGTTTGGTATAAGGAAAAGCACTTGTGAAATTCTTTGAAAAATTTGATATCTTGAGCATGCTATGTGTTTTATAGTGCTTGTAAATGAAGTGTATTATGGCATGAGTTGTGTATAATATGCTTGTGAAGGATTGTTGGATATAAATGTGAATACATGCTTGTTGATGTATTGACATGAAAATGGGATTGGTGAATTTATACATATGATGTAAATTGCCTTGACACATGTTGAAATATGTGGTTAAATAGCTCATTTGGCATACATTACATTTGACCATGACATTGGTATTGTAATGGTGTATCACATTGCATTTGCACGGGAGAATGCATCCATGACCATGAGCATGGGTGTGTGAGTGCATGGTGAGATAAATCACCACATTTGGTGTTTTGATGGGTGGGCTCAGGAAAGTGGGGTTGAATATCTTACTGAGTCGCACGGTTTACATGGAAAACTTGTGTTGGGTATAGCAAGAAGGGATAGATCCCCCCTCGGGTGCAAGACCCGGCTATTGGTTTATACACTTCTGATGGTGTATGTCCAAAAAAATGTATCGGTGTGTGGAGCCGGCGATGCAACACCGAAAGTCCACTACCTAAATAAAGACACATGGTTTTGATTAAATAAAGGATTCATTTGCTGGGAAACATCCAGAAATGAATTGGTTTTTATGAACATATGAGTTTATTTTCAAAATGATCTTCGGATGTATTTCATCAAAGATAAATATTTTACATTTGCATTGAATAGTGTGGTGAGAGCCTATGAAGGCTCGGGTTGAGGTGCGTGAGTGAATTTCATTTCATTCATGACATGACATGGTAGATTCCAACATGAAACATATATGTTATTGATTGGAATGATTCAATGGTTACAAATGTGGTGCATGAACATTGCATATGCACTTAGATGGAGAGTAGCCACTATAGGAAATATTGTACTAGGCATTGACTCACCCTATACGAGAAACATTTTAGGTGTGGGGTTAACACCGGAAGAGGACTCGCACTTGGGGCCTCGAGGGTGAAGAAAAGCAGGTTTGTGGATTTTGGAGGCCTCGAGGGGCCTCCATTTTGATATGTATTCGTGTAAATGGTTTGTAATAGAACTCGTAGATATCAAGTTTTATGCGATAAACATCATTATATATGTTTGGAATGATGTTGGGGTGGTTTGGAATGGGTTGGACATAAAAAATAGGTGAAATAGACAAAACTGGGCAGAATGTACCAGTACTGTGTACCGATACCGTATGGTCCAGGTGATAAAGAGTACCGGTACTGTCTGTCCAGAGGACAAACCGTATCGGTATTGCGTATCGATACGCTTTTCCAAATTTTCCAAAATTTAAAACTGAAGTGCTATGCCCTTGGACTTTGGTTCCTTGGTTCCAAAGATACAAATGGACATTAAATGAGATATATTGGGCTATATTGAACCTTGGTTGGATTAAATAATTGAAATAACACAGGTTACACGTCTGAGTTGAAATTCCAGGTAAATGGATACTATTACGTGATGTCGGATTATGCGGCACTCATGGATATTTTCACAGGTTGACGGTGCTCAATGAGACCCCCGGATTTAGGGGCGTCACAATATCAGAATTTGAAGAATATATTCCTTGATTGCTTGCACTTTTAGACACATCATTCTCCGAATAAAACCCTTTATCTGGTGGATCTGTGTCTCTTAGCAATCCTCTTTCATCATCCAATGCAATGCCATTAGAACTACGCACGTCATAATTACGATCAATCAAAAATGTAGAGTCCAAAGAAGAAGGCAATGACTGCTTATTCAGATGACACTAAAAAGATGTATTAGAATCGCCTTGAATTGGCTGAGACAAAGGAGTACTTTCATCTAGGACTGCATGTGGTGAACGAACAGCTTCATTTTGGATAGCTTGTGGTGAACGAACAGCTTCATCCTGGACTTTTTGTGATACTTGAACAACTCCATCCTGGACAGCATGCGGTGAACAAGCTGCATCAGATTGGACTGCTTGTGACAAATGAATCTCATTATAGGCTGCTAGCAATGAAGGAACATCCTTGGAAACTGCCTCTGGCAACACATGCTCAACTGGTACTTGCGAAAAATTCCACCCCAGAACACTAGCATTACAATCCTTCTGATTCAGCAAATCAACCTCTGTTGTAAAACTCAAGCCCTCACCTTGTTGTAATCCATCCCCTTGCTATGAAACTGAAACATACTTAGTAGTATTTTCTTGAGATTTTTGTACTTCTGGTTTATCAGCTTTATTAAAATTCTATTTATCAACATTTGGCTCCTTGATTTGCTGCGTATCTAATATTTTCCATTGCTTTGAAGTTGATGGATTATTCTTAAGCATTACTGCTTTATTCTGGGCTTGATTCTGTGGTCTAGCTACCTTCGACATATCTTCTCCAATCTTTGCTTTCCCCCTTCCTTAATCTTTCCTCATTTTGTGAATCTGGATTCTGATCTTGCTCACTAAATTTCTTCTTTTTGCATTCATAATCCATATGTCCTTGCTTAAAGCAATTTGAACAGTATTTTACTTCCTTCTCATAAACAATCTTCTGCCATCTTCCTTTGTAACCCCCCATTTCAAGCCAAACCCTTCATCTCCACACATGCTCTAGCCACTGCTGGTCTTGTAAGATTCATGGTTGGCTTGTCAAAAGCCAATATCCTCCCCAATGGACTTAAGATTGCGGCTATACATTCATTTGTGAAAAGACGCATGGGCAAACATGGCAAAGATACCCACATAGGCACCACTAATGGCTCTACTCCAGGAGTAAAATCAGGTATCCACTTAAAGAATTGAAATATGTGACCTTCAATATATGTAACATCCTTGAGCCACATCTTGACATAATCTTCAAAAAGTGAAAACCTTATAACTATATGCCACGTATCCAAATGTCCAATGAAGAATTCCCCTTTGATGCCCCATTTGGTGTTGATAAATTCTCTAATAACTGCTAGAGATGGTCTTCCATAGGCACACTTTGCGATCAAAGATAGCTAAAATGGCTTCTCTAGATCATTCATCTCCTCTCTAGACCAAAAAACAATATGTTACCCTTTGTCAAAAACATCTTTTTCTGGTTTTTTGGATTCTTGATCTGTTGTAGGTTTGAAAAAAGGTGTAATATGTGGTTGTTGAATGATTGATGCATAGGCTTTTGGTTTATTAGGTGGATCAAGTGGCTTTGGTTGTTGTAGACAAGGTTGTTTGGAACTCATGAAAAAAGAAAAGTTCTAGAGATAAGTCAGAGCTTCTCTCTCTAGAATAGAAAAAAAGAATCTTCAGATGTTGTTCTTCATGCACATAAATTATAGCATTAGTCAATGTATTAAAGTCCATCTCTAATTTCATAAAGTGCTTGGGCTACTTGGGCATTGGCTTCCATTTGGCATTGCATAAACTCGTAAAGCTTATTTTCAAATTCTTGTTCGGTTGAGTCCTCATATGTTGGATAATGGGAAAATTCATTTGGTGGTGTGAGATTGGATGAAAAATTATAAGGTTCATTCTCCCAACCATAACTTGGATAACTTGGTGTAACATAGTGGTCGGGGTAAAAAGTTTCGGAGGCCAAATTTGAATTTGAACCTTCGTATACAAAGTCATGAACCAGATAATTTATTGGGCACTCACTAGTCATGTGTCCATACTCACCACAAATCTCACAAACATTTTCAAAATAAGGGGCCTTTATTGGGCATTCACTAGTAATGTGTCCATACTCACCACAAATATAGCAAATGTTTTCCAAATAAGGGGCATTTATTGGGCACTCACTAGTGATGTGCCCACGCTCATCACAAATCTCACACACATTTTCATAAAAATTAGGAAGCATAACACAAAACAGAAACTACAACAAAAATATATACAAGTTAGAGGACATACCTTGGCCCATGATGAAAATCACGAGACTTACCTATGCCGTCCCAAAATCACCTTTGAACTCGACGCTTAACCGTCCCCGACAACGGCGCCAAAAATGTTTGGTGTTTTTTGTTGTTGTTCCTAACCTCTAAACATCATCCCTCAATGTGTCTATGGCTTATGTATATCAGGGAGTGTCACTCTTTCTCGGAATGATGCAAGAGATGGGGCAACAGAATGGTGGATGGAATGGAAAGGAATGAACAAAATATGTGTTGTGGAATGAAATGCGTATGTGAACAAAAGTGCTCCCCAAACGCAATGAGTCTTTTGTGAGTCGTTGTTTTACTTGGAAAAGTATTCCAAGGTCGTCTCCTCAAGGAAGGAAAGTTCAAGTGTGGTGAACGTGATTTTGTGAAAAAAGAAAGTGTAAAATCTTGTAGTTGGTTTTGGTGAGTGTTGTTCTTAATGAAAATGCAAGAAAACAAGTGTTGGCTAATCCCAAGGGTTCATTCCAATGGGAATTCCAAATCAATTCGAAGCCTTCCTCCAATGGTGCATAGATCAACGATTCATTTGTGGGAAGCTAGGGACGAGATGGTGAGGATCCAAACATAAATCGTGACCAGACCTATGGAATATCAAAGACTCACAACCATATCCACTCTCAACCCAGTCAACCGAACCACTGTACACCGAGTGCAGGAAAGAAGAAGAGTTGAAATGGAATCCTCAATGGAAGGTCTCCCTTGGATTAGCAAACTTAAAAACTAGCTACTCATCAATAAAGGCAAGAAAATACATAATGTAAAGAGACATGATGGATAAATGAAGATTAGAACTTAAACTAATGCAAGAAATCGTAAACTAAGAAAAACAATATTCAATACCCATTTTAAAGCAAGAAATGAAGAAAACTTAACATAACAATGGTGAAATGCAAAATGCAAGACTAAACTTGAAATGAACTTGAAATAAATTATATTAAGGTGTAAGGATTAAAGATTACAAAAGTATTAAAGCTTACTACAACAGAAATAGAGAAGAAAATGTAAAAATATAAATTTTTATTACACTATTCATCATCTTCTTCATTGGATTTTCTAAGCTTAGGTAGCCACCTTTCAAATGTGAGTGGAATGCTGAATATATGGTGAAGACTTGTTGCCTTTTCGTCCATGAGGCTTCCATAGCCTGTGTGTGCAAACCTCCCATCAATAAGAGGTGATTTTAATGGCTTTGCAGGCTAGGAGAGTGCTTAGCCTGCAACCATTATGGCTGCCCCCTTCTCTCCCATCCTCATCAATGTCATCTCTCCCATCCTCATCAATGTCATTGCCTCCAAAGTCTTCTCCTAGGGTGAAGGGGACATGTAAATATGTAAGGGATGTCAGGGGACAAGTGGAAGAATCGATGGTGGGACCCCCAAGCAAGTGGTGCATGAGTTGCAGGTGTTCTGGGCATTCTGCGTAGAACGTTCCAGAAGCTTTTTTTCTAAACCTTCCAGCAGGTCGATTCCAGTAGGCAGAACCTTTCGGAAGGTGACAGCTCAGGACCACTTTTAGTAAAATTGTCATACCTTTTGATCCCACCATTGATATGAGCTGAAATTTTGACACAATATAGAAGACATCTAGATCTACAATTTTTAGGTTTTGCACATTTTCAGATTCGAAGTGGATCATGGTCAAACATGGGAAAAATAGCAATACTATGTCAAGACCTTGGGACACCAATGGGCTAAACCTTCCGGAAGGTTTTCATGCAAATTTCATTTTTCTTGGTTTCTTCATCTTCCAAGCCTCCCTATCTTCATTAAATGTGTTCATCTATTCACCACACATTCACACTTAGTTGCAAAGCTCTAAAAGCCATCATTTATGCTATAATTACTTGCGACAACAAAATTTCCACATTATTCCTAACTTTAACTAATTCTAAATAATTAATATGTAAATTTAAGTTAAAAAGCATGAAATGAGGCCAATAACTATGAAATATTTTGTGCTCATCAGTTTTCTCCTCTAGGAAGGAGGTGAATTGTGTTGAAGGTGATTTTGGTGAAAACAGAAAATGTAAAAATCTTTGTTGTTTGAGTTTGGTGATTTGTTGTTTGTGATAGAAAATGAAATGGAGCAAGTGTTGGCTAATCTAAAGGGGTCACTCCAATGGGAATGTCAAGTCAACTCGACACCTTCCTCCAATGCTATCTAAATGTTCGATTGATTCGTAGGAAGTACGGGACTAAAATGGAGGTGAGGAATCAAGCATACCCCGTAACAATACCTATGGTGTATAAAAAACTCACGACTACGTCCACACTCAACCTAGTGAAACCGAATCAACATACACTATGAGGAGGAAAGAAAATGAGTTGAAGTAGCATAGCCAAGAGGAGTTCTCCCTTGGATTAGCCAACTATAAGCTTAGCTACTCATGTTTAAAGCAATAACATAGGTGAAATGAAGAGACATTGAATAGAAATAAATCTTGGAATTTAACTAATGCGAGAAAATAAAAAAGTATAGGAAAATGCATTTAATACTCATTTAAAGCTTGAAATGTAGAAAACTCAAATACATTAATGGTAGAACTTAACGTACTCAACTAAACTTGAAATGCACTGGAAATAATTGACATTGAAGACAATAAAGGAAGCTTATAAGATCCTTACAAGATATTACAAGTGAAGTGGATGGAAGAAAATGTAAAAATCTTAAGCTTTCTTTCTCTAACTATGTCTTCTACCTAGAGCTCCTCTCTCTACAATGCAATACATTCACAATAATACATAATGAATCCATATTTTCATCCATAGATACCTCCTTAGGTGTGTGATAGGCCTCCAATCAAGAGGGGGTTAATTGGATGCCTTGTTGTAAGCTAGGACAAGCATAGCCTTCCCCTCTCTTGCTTTGATATTCTCTCCTTCCTCATTAATGTTCAAGCCTTCAAAGTCCAAATGGAGGTGAGGGGAGGCTTTTAGATGTGTAAAGGATGTTAGGAGACTTGTTGAAGAAGTGTAAGGAGACCCCCAAATGGCAGAGCTTAAGTTGCAGGCTGTGTGAGCAATCTGGGCAAAACCTTCTAGAAGGTCGACACAAACCTTCTGGAAGGTTTGTGTAGGAACAGTTAAATAAGCATTCTAGTGAGCAAAACCTTCCAGAAAGTTTGCAAAGCCTTCTAAAAGGTTCATTCCAGTAGACAAAACCTTTCGAAAGGTTTTCACAGTGGAAAGTCAGACCAAGGCAAAACCTTCGGGAAGGTTTTTACCCAAACCTTCAAGAAGGTTTTCAACCATTTTGAAATTTTTTGGGCTTCTTCACCCTCCAATCCTTCCTTTAAGCTACCCCTTATCTTCATTGAATTCAAACACTTCATTGGAGGTATAACTCAAACCATTTACATCATTTTACCAGCATTTACACAAAATTCCATCAAATAGACGATTAAACATTTTTCTCCCCAATTTACGACAAAAGCATGTATAAAATGGGCATATTAGCATAAAAAAA